ACCACAGCTCCCTTGGGAGAGTGACGGGTCACTCTCATGTAACCCCGTTACACGCTTGATGAGCTTCTGACGTTTACTAAACTACGCTGGATGATACTGGACATGATTGTATTCTCGCAAAGCTTCGGGTAATGACTCGTTACAATTGCCCCATTGCTCTCGTCTAAAGCCAAACACGGCAAATTCATTGCTAGACTGCACATGAATTGTAGGGGACGCATTGAGCTTGCACATAAACGAAGAGTGTCAGATAATGACGTTGCAGCTGTATGATTACTTTTGCACACATAAATTACACTTGTCTAATTGAATTTCAACACAGATTAGCCCAGGGGTGGCACCATGATGTAGACTGAGGCCCGAAAAAGTGATCCAGATAGTTTATGACTCGCTTTTGGGTGGCGCATAGTTATTTACAACACATGATAACGAAAAAGTAATTATAGAAGATTTCTAGCAGAGAATAAGACGAAGGCGCAAGAGCATATTAAACTTTCACTTCAATTCCGGCCTAAAACCTTCTTTTTCTATACTCCAGCGTTCATCTCCTTTGACAAAAGCTTTCTGTGCGTAGAGTGCACGGCAACCCTTGACACTTTTACTTTGGGACTTCCGTGCTTCGATTTATGTCCAACGGCATTGAGATTTGATTTTAAATTAGGTTTGTTTGAATTCACCCGCCATCGTCCCGCTCGTTGGCTTTTATTAAAGCTCAATCACTGTGCGCTTGACTTGTTAACGCAAGAATTCAAACTTGATGTCAATGTCTGAGGTAGCATGTGATAAACAGGATTCTTGGACAAAGAGATGAAGCCTTGATTGTCTTGCTAGATAATGATTGCATTTTAATCTTCGCCACCGAAGCACAAATCACCAAGAAGATGCCCACATTTTAAGTGGCGCCGAATAGACTGATGTACTCTGTAACGGGGTTACACGTACCCGGGTAACAGGGGTGTGTGTCACTCGAGATGTGCATGGTGTGACTGCACCCAAACAAGAATACTGTATGCGGCTAGGTAGCCAGTAGTTATGCATGGATTTAGATTTTAATATATATCTTTAGAAAAATCTAAAATTTTAAAAATCAGAATAAAGGAGATAAATAAAAATCAGTTTGAATTTTAAACGGAGGAGTAATTAGCCTTGGGTTAAGGCAATAATTACTCTTGGAGTAAGCGGATTGCGATCCGCTAACTCGTTCTTGTTCTAAGTATAAAACGAAAGGTCAGTGACCTAAATTACGCTCCCTCAAGCGCTAAGCTACGGCAGCCCAACTGCACTTGGTAGCACTCGTAGTCGATCTACATCTGAGTCGTTAAGACTGATCCTCTGTGAGGATGGAGAAATTCTCCTCTTCTCCCCAGGGCATGCAGGACAGGACTGGCTTAACAAGCTGATGTCCTTGCTTGGTCTTGAGGGCGTGCAACACCTTGTAGCGCAAGGTCCCGAGGCAATCGGTGCGCGTCTAGAGACGTTTTCAAATTAAGAAAACGCGCTGCTATAGCACCTGTAGCGGAAGATGTCTGCATCATTTGCGTCTATGACGCCACCGTCGGTGACAGATGATTTGCCCCGCCCTAAGCTGCTCATGGTGAGCGTTAAGGTCTTTTAGGGGAGGAATGGAGCGAATCTCCAGCTTGAGTGAGAGAGGTCGAGATGGCCATCGCATCCGCCATGCTCCAGACAGAGCAGCAGCGCGTAGCGCTAGCCATCTCAAAGCTCGGTGGTCGAGCGTAAGAATGGGCACTGACGTGCGGCACTTCGGTCGAAGCTACGTTTCCCTCCTGGGTGGAGCTGAAGTTGCAGCTCTCACGAGTGTTCTCGCCGTCTAATCAGGTATATCGCGTACGATCGCGTTTCCTTGCCGCCCGACAGGGCAACAAGGAATTGGTGGACTTTGTCCATGAGATTTGCACTCTCGTTGCCGGGATGGCAGCAGATCCGCTTCCGGAGGCGGTCACAGTGACCGTCTTTATGGAAGGCCTCCGGACTGGCGTGGCCAGAATGGAAGTCTTCCGTGTGCATCCGTTCTCGTTTGAAGAGGCGGTGAATGTGGCATTAAATGCCGAGTTCAGTTTCAAGTCGGCACGACTTGGGTGGAATGCACAATCGAACAGCTCGTCGAGCAGGCCTATGTCCT